AATAATGCATTCCGAATGGATTTGTATTCAACTTTTTGTTTTTGAGTTATACAAAAAAAAATATATTTCTATAGTTTTTGATTGTTAAAATTTTTGGTTTATGAACAATAATTTTTGTTTTTAAAGTTAATGAAATATGAATGATTTGGTATGGTGTTGGTTCATATTTAAATTTTATCAACTATTCTTTTTTTTCAAATAAATTTATGTTTTTAGATTCGATGATAATTCATATTTTTGATTAAATATAATTGTAACTATTAAATAAATTATAGCGACTTTGATTATATGTTTTAAAATTTAATATCATTTTTGTTTTAAATTGTATATTTACTATGTACACATATATATTAAAAGAATCTATATTGGGATTTGGTTATTTTGCATTGTATGTTTTCAATCATTCCTTCGACCACCATTAGCTCGACTCCATCATCCTATCATATGATCACATATCACTATTTTAAATTGATTTCGATTAATATTTAGGTTAATAATTCATTTAACAATCGAAAATAATTGGACAGGTAAAAATTTTTTTTATCAAATGTGATAAATGTTAAGATAATTAGATCCAATGACTATATGGATCATAAAACCAAAAGGATGAAATTTGACTTCATCACATGGTTCAAGACTGATATCACATGATAACTGATGCTAAACCATTATCATTCAACTAAATGTGACATGGTTATAAATTCGGGAGTTCATAGAACAAAATCATAGATTCCTTAAGACAAATCATAGGTCAAAGTATCATCAAAGTCAATAACATCCTTAAAGAACAATAACAAATGCAAAAACCGCTTCTCAAAAATCCCGACCATGATTCTCTTTGGGGGTATTTCAAATCCAAATCTTTTATCAACTTTGGCTCGATTATACTCGTGAAGAACATTTTTCACGTACAACTGAGAAAATAAAAGAAAGAGAAAAGTTGGGATAACGTCAATCAAAGTATGATGTCTCTATTCTTGTTAGATCAACTCCAAAAAAATAAGTTGTAAATCTTGTATAGACATTAGTCACACACTATTAAAAAACAAATTATCATTACCTTTTCTTTTAAGGCCTGCATCCTGGCTCTATTTGCCGCGGATACCTTTGTCTTCTCTTATGTTGTATTCTAAGTAGACTCATGTTGTATTCTAAGTAGACTCAGCACTCATCCTGGCTATCACAGGGCCTTTGACCATCAAAGAGTCGAGAAGGTTTTACATACTAACGAAAATGGGTTTTTTATACTTGTACACCCTACAGATAATAAAAGAATGAAATCTTTTTGAGTCCCTTACATGGATTCGGAGTAAAGACCCGTGCTGCCTTCGCATTTTGACTTGGATTGGATCAAAGTATATGACCATTTTAATAATAAAAAAATTTAAAAGTAGAAAAATATATTAAAGAGAAGTCCTAAAAATCTATCGAAACAAAAGTGATGAGGAAGATAAATTATACGGTGTTGAGAGATAAATGTGTTGAAGCAATCGTTGATCGGAGCCGCTCAAATGATCGCAAATAATTTCAGTGGTAAAAGTATGGCCAACAATCGGTGGCTGCATTAACGTCGGTGTTATTAATCTCCACAATCTTGCATTCCAAGCAAGATAAGTAAACAGTTTTTTTGTGCCGTTGACGCTAGTCGTACAACTCTTAAAGAAGAGGCCAATACAACAGACGACATCATTAAAGAATTAGTGCATTAATCTTGGATAAATTTTGAAACAATAAAACAACGGACAAAGTTTGTAAAAGACCATTGGATAAATTCATTTTCTTATTGAGATTTGTATGAAAACCACATACTTAATATAGATCAAATCAGTTTGTAAAAATTTGTGGCAAACAGTTTCTGTTGCATAAAACTAAAAAAAATTGAACAACAACAAATAAATCTCAGGGCAAAGGCTGCATCAAATATGAAACAGACGATCGCAAATACAAATATATTAAAAACGATACAAAAAAAAGAAACCAAATCAGAAAACTATCTTATAAACCGTAGTATGAATAGACGAAACCTATCAAACATAAAACAAACAAAAAAATCAATAGTCGATTATAACTGAACATCAACAAAATGATCTAAAGTAATTACTATTATATATAGATGAACAAAACTCTAAAGGAAGAACAATTATTAAAAACAGAACAATTATTTTCAAAAAATAAACGTACAACGAAGTGCTACGACGAAAAGGAATGAGTAGTTCAAATAATGATAAAAAATAATATCACATATCCGAAATCATAATGAATTGTCGAAAGGATACATCGTATCTAAATAAGATATTAAGAATGATAAAAAGAAGAGAACATAAACAAACCAAAAATTAGAAAAAAAACGTGCTCAAAAGGGAGAAGAATTTTAATAAAAACAATAAACGCGAGAAATAGTGAAAACCTAAAAGCTGAAAGATACGAAAGTATTATGAAAGGAGAC